TAATTAGGTCCTTGTATATAAGTAAACTATATAAAATAAAATACTCTCTTTTATCGTTGTAGAATGGAGATTCAAAGGGCCCGACGGCGGAGGATTTTCGATACTGGATTCATCGACCCTCGGAGAGTAAACGTCGCAATGCTCGACCAATATCCACAAGAAACAGAGGACAATCTCGTCCATCTCCTGAAGGCGCAGCATTACAAGACGTTCATATTATTGCCGTACAACACAAAGTTAGTTTAATTTTACTGTCTTCCTACATACCAAATTTCATTCCCGTACGAACTTGCTAAGTGTTTCATATGTAATGCATCCCACGCACATTGCAGATTCCACTGGGTGCTTTTACTCTTCGACCTGTCGGCCTGCACCGTCAACGTATATGACTCAATGGATAAAAAAGAGTCTACGTTTGACGAGGTTTTCGAACTTATAGACAGGTACTGGCATAAGTTCCTCTGTTAATTAAGAAATTCTTGTTATGTTAATTATTTCTACTACGAATCATATCTTTAAACTCCATGTAGGGCTTGGTATCGGTTCCGTCATTTGGTCCGTGGCAACTGGAGAGAAAGACTTAGGCGGAGGTTCAAATTTCCTGTGAGTACACATGCTCTACATTTATATTTCTCCGATTCAAATTAATACATACAAGTGTATATTAATTAGATCTCACTCCGTTAATTTGTCATTTATTTGTAGTGCGCAAAGCAAAAGCAGGGAACTAACTTGTGCGGCTACTACGTGTGCGAGTATTGCCACTGCCTTGCAGACCAAATCATCACCACAAGAGAGCTCGATGTACGTACAAATAAATTCAAAATTTTATTACGTAACGATTTCGTGTTTAATTACTAATCAATTTCATACATTCATATAGTTTATTCGCATGAGGGATAACCTGACCACACACAAGGAATTTATCGCGGCGGTTCAAGAACAACTCATGGGATTCATCAACGAAGAAATCCTTGATCCCAAGGGTGAATTCTACTACGACGGAAACACAATTCACCGGTCCTTAGCTTCTGAGCTAGCAGTGAGTACTACTACTACGTCGAAATCGTAGCTAGCTAGAACATATAATGGATTGTAATTAATACATGACTACATATGTTTCTATATGCATGTGTACACATTTTCTATAATGTAAATATATTTTGGTCATATATATATATATATATATATATATATATATATATACACACACACACACATATGCATTTGCATAACATATATATGTATAAATACATATATATTATGCATGTACATATGTACTGAACCATATATACATATAATATATATATATATATATATATATATATATATATATATATATATATATATATATATAGGACACTCATATGGGGCACCATGGTATCAAATACACAAAATCACTCAAATTTTTCAAAATTTTCAAATTGTGAGTATATACCTAGTTATAATAACTCGATTCATACCTATACCTATCAACAAAACAACTCAAATTTAACTTTATTTCACAATCCATGATTACATACCTAACTAATTATATGTATGGATGCTATATACCTAGAATCAAAATCTAACAAAAACAAGTTCAAATTCAGTTCAAACTTGCTTTGAACTAGTTAGTAAAGTAGCTAATGTTAATATCTAAGTAATTGAAAAAGTTTCATACTCATTTGAATTAGGTATATACTCAATTTAGCTACTTTACTAGCTAGTTCAAAGCAAGTTTGAACTGAATTTGAAATTCAAATGAGTATGAAACTTTTTCAATTATGTATATATAAATATATATATATATATATATATATATATATGTATGCATATATATGTATTGAAACATATATATATATGCATGGTTTATATATATATATAAACCATGCAGCAACAGGGCCATGCAGAAAAAAAAAGGTCAGCTCGATCTTTAGTCCCGGTTACCAACCGACTAAAGGGGGTTACAAACCGGGACTACAAAGGGTTTCTCCACCAGTATCTTCTCTCTTGAACGATCACTAGCTATATAAGCTAGAATTAATATATATGAGAAGTCTCAGATTACATATAAGAAGACCTTTTTTGTGGTCCGTCATTAACTAATACAGTGTATTCATCATGAACTAAAACATATACTGTATAGTCTAGGACGAAGATGATGTCGTCGGTCGGCAGCAAATGGGTAATTAAATATATAAGAACGGGTTTGTTTGCTGATAAATTGCTTTTCTCACGTCTGCGTTGACAACTAACGCATATTAATTAATTGGGGCGACCAGCGCACGGTATTACCGTCGAACAGTATACCCACGCGGGGACATGATGAATCATGTCACATGATACCCAGCCACCGGTTTTGATTCTTTTATGTGCCTGACGTGATAAATAGGTACAGTATCAAGTATGGTACATATGTTTGCTAAATCTGATATCGAAGTATTCGGCATGTTTTACCTCTATATCGCCTGTAGCCTTCCTCCATATAAGGACTTTTATGATAGCCTATATTGTGAGTTTTCTAATGCATGTATTATCATCAGTGACGGATAGAAAGAAATAGCAAGAGGGTCTAAACAACCTAGAACAAAATTACACAGCTCCCTCTTCCACCTACGTATGGCAAAAGAATCTCTGTGGGGTGCTTTGTGGGGGCTCCCATGATCCTCACGCTAGTAGTGGAGGCTCGAGCCCCGCCACCCCCATACTGGATCCGCCCCAAATTATCATGAATGGATACAATTTAGACAATTGATTTGTAAGTTTTTTAGAGCACGTAGGAGATTTGCGTATCATTTCATTAAGATAGAGAAGAAAATGGGTACGATGTTAGAAAATGACTCGGACACTTATAAGTTCTACTACCAGTAATAACAATTATATCCTTTAATTCTACTACTACAAGTAAGTTGAGGTGACAATATAAATAGATGGTGACATGGTCTATTAAATGAGAAAAATACAAAAAGCCTGGATTGATTCTACTATTTTAGAGACCACCGTCAAAATTGGTATATTTAATAGAAGAAACTTAATACCTTTTCTTTAAAAATATAATGTTATTTTAGAGAACTATAGGTTATATGGTTGAGTATATTATTCTTTTTTTTTAAAAAAAATGGTTCTCTAATTTTTCTTGTCAAGACAAAAGAACAAGAAAAAAAATTCATTTTACTCAATTCAATGGATCACTTAATCCTCTAAACTATATGTTTTGGCTCATTTTACCCCCTAAAACTATTGATAACGCTTCACTTTATTCCTTACTAAATTTCTCTTTTTTTTATTCTTTATACAAGTTGTATTTTGAGCTGGAATTTTTTAGAGCTATAGCTGGCACCATTATCAAAGTTCAAAAAATAAATTTGTTTTTATTATGACTGTTTGATTGAACTTTACAATTTTGATGTTTAAATCAGTATTAAGTGCTTTCAACCTACATAAAGAGGCGATAGATTGGTATTGCCGAGAGCACTATTTTAACTAGAGTTAGTCATCCTCCTGAAGCTAGCAACCTGCCCTTCCACATCGGCAATTTGTGCACCACTTTGTCCACAAGCGGCTGCAGTTGTGCTTTGCTCAACTTATAGGGCGAAAGGGATAACCCCAGGTACTTGATTAGAAATTGCTCCGCTCGACAACCCAGAGCAATGGCCGCCTAGCCAATTTGATCATCCGTGCATCCAATTGGGATGATCGAGCTTTTCTGAAAGTTGGCATGTAGGCCATAGCTTCACCGAAGATCTTGAGAATCTGTGAGACTGCCTCAGTATTGGAGTTGAATGGCTGAATGAAACATATCACGTCATCTGAATACAATGAGATCCGATAGCCGAGACCTTGACAGGTGAAGGGATGAAGAAGTCCCTCCTTTTCCGCCGTCCTGAATAGGCCATTTAGAGCCTCCATGGCGAGGATGAAGAGAACGGCGATAACGGGTCACCCTGGCGCAATCCTCTTCTATGCAGAACGCCATCACACAGGTTGCCATTCACAATTATTTTAAATGAGGAGGATCTCAGAATCATCATGATCCAGCTTCTCCAATGGTGGCCAAAGCCTATGTGTGTCAGGATTTCCAGGAGGAAAGGCTAGGATACCATATCAAAGGCTTGAGCAATATCCACTTTGAGAAGCAACGCTTCTAGCAGCCCTAAAACACTTAGCAGCCAATTGCACGAGGCGGAAATTGTCATGGATGCTACGTCCTGAGAGGAATGTGCTCTGATTAGGGCTCACCAAAACAGATATCTCCTTTTTGAACTGCCCAGCTAGCAACTTGGAGAAGAGTTTGGCAAAACTGTGAATCAAGCTAATTGGGCGAAAATCCTTAACCTGAATTGCGTCATTGCTCCTTGTAATGAAAGTGATGAGAGCATTATTTCGTGTGTATGGGAGTTGTAGTTTCGAGTTTGCGTGAGTGCTTAGTGTTGACTTCGTGAAGATTTGTGAGCAATTGCTTCATCCCTAAGAGATCCTTGCATCATCTATTACTCTTGGAGGTTGAGAACTCCTAGACGATTAGGTGTCACTCTTGAGCCACCAATTCACTTGTGGTTGGTCGGGAGAAGTTTGTGAAGGTTGGATCTCACATCCAAAAGGAAAGAAATACCACTAGTGGAAGGAGTGCTTTGTGCAACCTCTAGAGCAAAGGGTAAGCAAAGATTCTGCTCTTTGTGAGTGCTTCTCAACGGAGACTAGAATCTCCTCAAGGATTTGAAATTCGGGAACACCTCATCTTGCAAAAACCTCGGTGAAATCCCTCTCTCCCTCCTATAGCTTTGCTTGTTTATGCCGCTACTGGTTTAGTTGTTGTTTGTGTTTGTTCTACATTCTTGTGAGTAGCTAGATCTAACATTTCTTGAGCTGTACGCTTACTCTATTATTTTCAAAATTTCCAAAAAGCTTTGCTTCCGCATTTACTTAAATTTAAAATTAGCATATGCCCCCCCCCCCCTCTCCAAGGCCTAAGTGACTCTTTCAGTGAGCCATGCATCGTCGTCTACCGTTCTACTAGCTTTGGCAAATTTCCGATTTTCTCTATTCAGCTGTAATGAGCCATGACAATAAGAACATGACTGTCTACAAATGAGGAGAATATAACTCATCAGTAAACACCTAACTGTGAGTAATGACTAATTATATAAGAATCCTATGAAAGAAATGTTCCACAAACGAAAGAAGAATAGAAAGGTAGTAAAAAACACTATGATAGTGTTTTCTTCATCCCCTACAGCTGAACATCATGCACTCCCGATAAGCTCATTGATCAGCATGTTCATGTTCATGTTCATCGGGACTAATCGTGCTTTCGATGTTTATCCCAATTTCACCCCTCAAGAACTTGGAGTACCAGTGAGCAGAGAGCTTCGGCTGCCTTGGCAAATTGGGGTCCTCAAAATCAACATAATGCAGGCCGAATGGCGAATGGTATCCTGCTAACAGCTCAAACACATCAAGAAATGACCACACAAAGTAACCCTTCACATTGGCTCCATTCCTGCAATGACCATATGAACAAAAAAAAAATCCATTTTTCTTGTTAAAAGTTCAGACAAAGTCACCAATATTTATCATGTAACCGAAAGGAACAGCACTTGCCTTAGTGCAGCTAGAGTGCTTCCCATGTAGCTACTCAAGTAGTCCACTCTATCTGTGTCATTGAGTGAATCGTCGTCCTTACCGAAATGCCCGAAACCTAAAATATGGTAAATAGATGAACAAAAAAAAATAGATCGGTAAAGACGTCAATGACATTACAGTTTTACATGACACATAGAAATTTATTTTTTTAAAAGAATAGGTGAAAGACTCACTGTTTCAGCTCCCACAGAATTTACATTCTTTAAAAAAAAACTATGCATAAATTTTCCTTGCAAATCAAGAGAACTTCCACAAAATTTGCAAGGCAAGCACCATGTACTTTTGAAATATTGTAATGCGCATAGTCACATAATGAAGAACACCATTGGGCTATATATGGATAGATATTGAGTTTGAAAACTTGCCATTTTCTTGAATATAAACAGGAATGCCCTGGTATGTGTCTCTGAGGTATTCGAGCATACATTGCAGCCCCTTCGGATCTCTTGGGAGCCTAGTAGGGACAAACTGTACCCAAAAGGCAAAAGTTGAAATGAAAATGTTTAGTACCTCTGCTGAAGGGAAAAAAACATTCATGGGATTTTTCTCCATTGAATAACTGATATTTAGTTTGATTTCAAATACAAAATACCCAAATTGAGTGAAAGTAGGGGAAAAGGTTAAGATACCTGACCACTCGGCGTATCGTTCCTCGAAACTGAAACACAGGAAATCAAACCGCAATTACAATTGGTAATCAAATTGTGTTATATTCACTACGAACTTCCTAGAGCTAGCATGTGTAACACTTCTATTTTTCGTTTTTAGAGTCTCATCATCAATGTGATACTGAGGATTTGCCACATTGCATGAACTTGATTTCTTCACATCAAAACTGAACTTACTTCTGAAGGTTGCTGCCATATCAGCACTGTAGTCTCGAGGGCCCACCGTTTCGCCATTCGATGCATCGCTGATGTACACCGACGTGTAATGATTTATTCCAATGAAATCAGCACTCCCACGGATCAGCTCAGATTGTTCTTCGGTGAAGGATGGAATCCTGGAACCAGCCTTCTTCTTCATGATTTCAGGGTAGTCCCCATAAACCAAGGGGTCCAGTATCCTAAGCAAGAATTAATAAGCATATATAGGTCTCCTCATCATCTTATCTAATTTGATAATTTCATTGCATGCATAATTGTTGTATGATTAACCAACAAATTTAGTATCTTGAAAAAGGAATGGAGAAGGAAAAAAGGATCACTCACCAACCGACCATGAAATCCAAGGCTCTCTGAGTTGCTGCTATGTCTGCAGAGCTGGAGGAGAAAGGGTAGTTCCAGAAGCTGTAGATGTTCATGCCAACGAATCCCTCCTGTGTAGCCTGCAAATGTCCATGCATGTTGGTGACTAAGAGATCAATCTGCAATTCTGTACGGCCCATTTATGCCTTTCTGACCATTGATCAAACCTATATTTCGGTTCTGAAATCTGAACAGAATCCTTCGCACGTTCGCGAAAAAAAAAAAATCTGAACAGAGTTCAGCTAAGCGTTCAGGATGGGGCTCACTCACTCAGCGTTCACAATCTCAGAATGCAAATTCAGAATTCTCCGAAAGCAAGAAATTGAAATTGAAACAGATTTGCACCGAATTTGAGCCATTCATTTTTTTTTGCTGAATTCAAACGAAAATAGGAACTTATTACTGTACTTGACTGACTCACCTGGTACTTGTCCCTGTACAGCCTAGTAACCGAGGCATGAGCCAAGATGGAGTTGTGGGCGACGACGTACGGCTCCACGGTGGAGTTGCCGGCGGTGCAGTTGGCCCCGAACGGCGGCGAGCAGCGGCACGGCGGGAAGGCACCGCTGTCGTAGGCGGCGATGGACAGCACGTTGGGCTCGTCCATGGTGGTCCAGTGCCTCACCCGGTCGCCGAACTCCCTGAAGCACACGTCCGCGTACGCCGTGAAATCGTCACTGCAAAAAATTTTCAGATGGAATTTCAGATGGCAGCTTCTTGAAGAAGAAGAATGGTTTCTTTCAGGAGGAGCAGTGATGAGATATCAAGTGTCTTACATGACCCTTGGGCTGAGCCAGCCATGGTACTCATCTTCAAGAATTTGAGGGAAATCCAGGTGGTAGAGAGTCACATGTATCTCAATCCCTGCAGAACAATCGGAAATTCAGAAATTATTTGTGTTGCAATGTTGCATTGAGGCTGGATTTGTTAATATTTCCAGTTCAACCACAATTAGCTTTTCACAATTTTTTTACAGGTGTATTTAAATTTCTAAAAATTCGAACGAAAATTAGTCAGATGATTGTAGTATTTTAAAATATGTCTAGATTTCAGGTGACTGAAATCATTTTACTTGGATGACAGATTAACAATTCAATGGTTTTCATCACTTTCTTATTACTTATTTAAACAAAAAACCTTCTTTTTAAATAAAAGGTTAAACAATAAATTCTTATAGCCTAAGCATGAAAATTGGGGAAAAAAATGTACAATACAGATAAACAAAACTGCGGATATAATGAACTTAAATGGCACATTTCATAGTCCTGCAATTTTTAGGCTGTGCAATTTTAATTAGGTGACTCAAAATTTACAAATTTTAGGTGGCTTAAATCTAGCAAATACTATTTTTATATTTAACTGTTGACACTTTAACTTGATATTTAGAAAAGCTATGTAAGTATCATTTATTTTGTAACATGTTTTATCATTAATGTGTTTTAAGCATGACTTTTTTATGTTTGTACTCAATTTTTGAATAAGACGACTTGTCAATTTTCAAAATTTAACAACGTCACACATTTAAAAATGAAGGGAGAATATCTTTTGAAAATGATGGAAAATTAGATTCAGTAAAGAATCTCCTTAGTATTTTTGTCGTTAATACATATGTAGAGAAACAATCATATATATCAGAAACACGATTTCTTTGAGAATACTTTAAGGAGTAAAAGGGAAAAAAGATTATTCCTCTCTCATTTTTCTTTATTGTGATGTAACTGCAGCGAGTGAAATTGGAGAAAAATTCCTACATATTTCAGATTAAAACTACAAATCATGATGGAAATTACCCCGTTCGACTAGCTCATCTATCAGGCTATTGTAGTACTCGAGTCCCTTCGGATTGACGGGTCCTCTTCCTCCTGTGTTGATCATAGAAATTGGATCAAGATTAGAACGACTTATGAGGGACACATGTTCTGCAAGGATATGATAATTAAGTTCCCCAAGTCAATTGTGATTAGTAAAACATTTTTCTTACTTGGAATAAGCCTAGACCAAGAAATGGAGAACCGGTATGCCTCCAGGCTAGTATCACTCATTAACTTGACGTCCTCCTGAAAAATGCAGATACTTCCAATTAACTTGGCATCATTTTCCGGCCACAAATTCAAGAAACAATTCAAGGAACGTTGGAACAATGAAATATCTGCTGAGAAAATTGCAGAAAAAAAGAAATTAAAATATTTGATTTTTCTTTTCCCATCCTCATGACCTTTTTAATTATCATTCTAATCCAACTTGAAATTGGATTCAAACTACCACCTAGCTTAATTCCTAATTAGGGTTTTAGGTTGATATTCCCATTTGCCAGAAGTATTAATTGAACTACACTTAATTAAATTATACTTTTTTCTTTGATAACAAGAACAATAATTTCAACACTTAACTAGCTGGAAATTAAACTCTGCACTAGAAAAGAAAAGGAGAATCACGTATATATGAGCCATTATATTTTTTTAAAAAAAAGACCGATGAGAAAAAAAAGGCACGTTGTTTCCGATTCATCGATCAAAACCGCTAGCTTAGAAACTGGAAAAGGACAGGTAATTAAATAGGCGCCAGAATTCAACGAAATCCCAAAGGAACGAACAAATGAACACGTGGCATTACAATATCGTCCAACCATATGTTATAGTGAACAATTACGACCATCCAAAAAGACCTAAAAAAAAAACTGTTCGTACCTTGTATTTGTGGTAGCCGCCGGCGCCCATGTCGCCGGTGCTCTTGTCCGGCATCTTCCCTGCAAATTAATTAACCCATCATGCATGCACAGCCAAATAAATCAGATCAGAAAACAATAATCATCTAATAATAATAAACATGTAAACTGTGTACTTAACTAAGAGTCGGCTAGCTAGCTAGCTAGCTTGATCATGTGTATATGTAGTACTATATATTTTGCAAGTACTAAGTACGATTGTGTGAAGGAATTATATGTGTGATTAATGAAACAATTATACATCACCTGCATGAGTGAAAGTGTCCCAGATGCTTGGGCTCCTTCCATCTTCATCGGTAGCCCCCTCATACTGTAACAAAAATCCCCCAAAAAAAAAAGGAAAAGAAACCATTAACACCAGTGGTTTTAATTTTTCTTTTAACTTGTCTAGTACTAACTATTCATATACACAGTAATTAGACCATGCATATATGTGAAAATAAGCAAAGCATCAGCTGGTTCTTCCAATTAAAAAGCTAACCTGGTATGCCGACGTGCCGGCGCCGAAGACGAACTCCCCGGGGAAATCCTGCCTTGTGAAGTTGAGAGCTCTCGCCGCCGCCGCCGCCGCCTCGCCTGACCGCCATGGCGCCGCGGCGAGGAGCAGGAGGAGGAGGAGGAGAGAGAAGCTGGAGCAGGTAGAGGTAGAAGAGGAGACGGCCATGGTGAGGTAGTAGCTAGAGAGAGAGCCTCTCCTCCGTTTCTCTGGTTGTCTCTACTAGTACAGTTTAATTATATGTACTATAGTATCCCAAAGTTTAACGAACAGTAAAACGTTAGATGCAAAAATCCATAACTATATTTAAAATAAGACGAAGGGAGTATGTAAGCATATCTTCGGTATTTCTCGCTAGTGAGAGCTGCCACACACATGCCAATTGGTTGCAGCTGCAGAGATAGCTATAAGCTCTCTAAGGTTAAGTAAGCCTCAGATTAGCAGGAGACTGGCCTTCTATTGTACTTTATCAATATTATTTAAGATCTCAAATGCAGTTTAGGATGAATATTAATTTAAACAGCAAATATATGGATATATCTGACCAGTAAACGACCTCGGACAGGAAGTCGTCGTCATCTATGATACGAGGACCTGGCTGCAGGCAGCTAGCCACCTGGCCCACGTCCAGATAATTTTTTTTTCTGTTTTATTCCCCTGATTAAAAGCGGTGTTTAATGTATGTTTGATATCTCTGACATACCACATTTTAAGTTAGGTGATTCATGTGGAGTTTTATCAAAAACTAATTAAATGGACGAAATACACGTACTCCGAATATTGAAAAATCAGTGTTGATAATCAACTCAAATTAGTTTATCTTACGAACTTGTTGGCCAAATTACCGATATATGTCAAGTGTTTATCTCAGGAACTCAAATTCAAATCTTACCTCAAGTTTTCTATGAAATTTCTAATTCTTAAAATAGGACTCAAATTTCATTGTGTGGTGATGAGCCTAGGTGGTGGGTGCATCCACCATCGGCTCTCTTCGTCCACAAAAATAGATGAGGAAAATATACTTTTTTTTAGCCCAGTACATTTAGGGAAGTCTATATGTCGGGCATCCACTTGTTTTTTCATGTCGTTCGAAGTGTCATTATGTTTTTTTTAAATAATAAGTTTAATCAGTATATAATATATCACTCGACAAACATATAAGTTTAAATCCAACCTACACAAGTTTAAACAAGAATTTAACTATAAATAGTATATTCATGATCAAATTTGATATTTTTTTCTATTTGTAAAAGTTAAATTTAAAGTTGCATGTTTATAAAGCCATAATGCTGCATATTGATTAATATTGCTAATTGTTTTAAAATAAATTTATAACTTTTTAAACGACATACTCAGAATGAGGGGATGTTCACTTGTGAGGTACAGGCAAAATCCACTCCAGTACATTTAGCTAATTCATAGTTAGTGTCATCAAAGATTAAGAGGCTTCCAGTAAATTTCTAAGAAGATCACTTCACCAAGAAAACTTCCCCACATATTTTGGCAGCATGCAGGCCAGCTTGTACTGTACCTAAGCTAGCTAGCTCTGTATAGGTAGCTTCTTTGACCATATCAAAACATGAACCTTCTCATTTGAACTAGTGGAGCCCGTACGTTGATAAAATCAATTAATAGGTACTTATTTAGTATAAATAATACTAAGATTTTTTTATTGAATAAGTAGTACGTGATTTTGAATTTAGAAGAAGCCGATAGTAAAATATGGGAGAACATGTTGAAAGGTGGTGTAATAGTATAAATTGTGGGACTCAAATATTAATGGTGAGGGTGGTGTGAAAATGGACACCACCGTTACTAATATTTTAAATATACGTAGATATATACTTCATCCGTTCCACAATGTAAGTCATTTTAGCATTTCTCACATTCATATTGATGCTAATGAATCTAGATAGATATATGTCTAGATTCATTAACATCAATATGAACGTAGAAAATACTAGAATAACTTATATTGTGAAACGGAAGTACTAGATATATATGCAGCTGAATGCTATTCCTAGCTACTAGAAGGTGCATACAGTGGATAATCCAAGAAAATTTTCTTGTGGTGAAAAGAAGTTGGTGAGAAGTATGGAAGTCTCTCGCGTGAGAAATACAGGGGAAAAGAGACAAAGCAGCCACGCCATCGCTGCCGTCACACGAAGGAAAATGCCATGTATGATAACTACATGACGCACGCACGGAGATCAAGCGACATGTCGAACCATCGAAACATGTCCATGTCGAACTATCGAACATGTCGTCGATCTTGCTCGTTTGTCAGTAATATTAATTCCAAGACTTGCCGGCACGCAAGGCTAGTGTATGTTTTAATTTCCCGGAAAATTAAACAGCAAGTTTTTTAGCACCCAGAAAGTATTGGCACCTAGGTATATGCATGTAATTTAAACAGTTGTATAAAAATTCCATATATATCACCGTGAGATATCAGTTATGGTCTAACTGGGGAGCTTTTAATTACCATTATCAATTTTCCCACAATCTTCAGCTCTCCGAAAAATATATATTCTATAGCTATAGATTTTAAAAATAAACTATAAGCCATACAACTTAGGCTGTGTTTGGCTCCACAGTTTCCCAACTCCTCTTCCTCGTCTTCCGCGCGCACGCTTTTCAAACTGCTAAACGATGTGTTTTTTATAAAAAGTTTCTATAAGAAAGTTGCTTAAAAAATCATATTGATCCCTTTTTGAAAAAAAAGTTAGCTAGTATTTAATTAATCACACTACTAAAAAAAGCTCATAGAGATCGGCGCTATAGGTGCCGAAACAGCTAAAACCGACACCTATAATGCTTTTCCCTCCTATATAGACTGAAAACACATAAAACCGACACATTTAAACAACTATAGGTGCCGGTTCTAAAGAAGAACCGACACCTATAACATAAGTGCCGGTTTTTAAAAAAAAACCGACACCTTTAATATAATATAGGTGCCGGTTAAAAAACCGACACCTATACTATAGGTATCGGTTCTTCTTCAGAACCGACACCTATAATAAATTATAGGTGTCGGTTTTTTTAAAAAAACCGTCATCTTTCTAAACCGAGCCGAGCCAAGCCTCTATCTCTCTCTCGCCTTCTCTCGCCTCCTCCCTTGGTTCTCGTCTCTCTCTCTCGTCTTCTCTCTGCGGCCGGCGACGGGCTTCGGCGGCGGCGTGATGGGAGGCGGCGGGCGACGGCCGGCGACGGCGCCCTCCCCTCCACCGGATCCGGCGGGAGGGGAGGCAGCAGGCGACGGGCTTCGGCGGCGGCGGCGCCCTCCCCTCCATCGGATCCGGCGGGAGGGGAGGCGGCGGGCGACGGGCTTCGGCGGTGGCGTGATGGGAGGCATCGGGCGACGGCCGGCGGCGGCGCCCTCCCCTCTGCCCGATCTGGCGGGAGGGGAGGCAGCGGGTGGCGGCGACGTCCTCCCCTCCACCGGATCTGGCCGGAGGGGAGGCAGCGGGCGGCGGCACAAGAGGGGCCCGCCGGCGGCCAGCCCCTCTTCCTCCCTCATCTCTTCTTTGTAGATTTTTTATTAGATGTTTTGATCGATTTTGGTGACGATTTGTGAATGATTATCTATGATGACAATCAATTTTGGTGACGATTTGTGGATGATTTGGGGATTTGGGTTTGGGCGCATGGCTACGGTGCTCAGTGAGTTCGGCTTGATTCGAGCCGGCTCTCTTTTTTTTTTTGGCTCGAGCAAAGCTAAAGGTGCCGGTTTATATTATTGGTGCCGACCAATAGGTGCCGGTTGGAAAACCGGCACTTATAGCCGGTTCCCAACTGGCACCAATGACCCTTTTTGTAGTAGTGTTACGCGCTAATGGACCGCTCCAACGCAGGAGTTTAAGGTTCCCATCTCCCCCCAACGAACAAAGCCTTAGGGATTTTTGTAAGGTTGAAGATGGTTCAAATTCTGATTTTTATAATTACTAGTAAAATACCCATGCATTATGGTGGGCTTTAATAATGTTAGATGAGCTGATTAAAACTAAATCATCACTTTCACGTTTTGATTAACGATGATAGGATAAAGAGTGTTGTATATGAAGCAAATAGAGTTTCTCACTCTAGTGCATTGTTGGTTAACAATGATGGGCCTAAAAGATAGATGGTGGCCCTCCCACTTATCAAATACTCCCTTCGTCCCAAAAAAAAAAAAGGTCCAATTCTAAATATGAACCTAGATATATGTGTGTGTTCAGGTTTATATCCAGGATTGGACTTCTTTTTGCGACAGATGAAGTAGGTGGGAGTGGCAGAACCACCACCACCACCAACATCTTTTAGGTTTTGTTTGACACTTGTTGGGAATTAATCCCTCACGCACATAAAAACGGAGCAACTCATTAGTACAAAATTAATTAAGTATTATCTATTTTTTTAAAAAAAGTAGATTAATATGATTTTTTAAAGCAACTTTCGTATAGAAAACTTAAAAAAAAACACACTGTTTAGCAGTTTGAAAAACATACACGTGGAAAAGGAGATGAGTTGGAACCTCAACTAAGAACTCAGCCTTAACATAGTTCAGATACATACGCACGAGTATATCCTCTGTAACATACAAATTTAGTGATATGATGGTTTTTAATGTCGGTATCCATCTCTTAATATGTATTAAGAGAGGCGCACTTTGTGGGTGTGTGGCGTGCATGAGTTATTTGAAAAAATATACTACCTCCACTACTATGTTATATGTATGAGATGTCATGAGATTGTTGATGCAACTTCACTTTTTGTCGAGGGGTAAGGACAGGAGCTCTGTCAATTTCATTAAAGGAAGAGAGAAAGAAAAGTTCACAACACACATTTTACAAGGATCAAAAGAGCCCAGGGATCAAGAGGAGGATACAAGAATTTTGAGGAAGTGTAATGCAACTAGCAACAAAATATATCGACGGATCATCTAAACACTCTGGGTTTCGGGCTTCATCAAAAGCCTTGCACGTGATGACGATGGAGTCAACCACCTGCATGACCGTGCTATACACCCCCATTATATTGAAGATTCTATCATTCCTTTGCAGCCAGATACCCCATGCCGTGCAAATGAATAAGACATCGAAATTGCGCCTTTGTTTCTTAATCATCTCTTTTCTGCATCGATGCAACTTCACTTGTCCTAGTGAAAGAACAACTATACTCGGAGCACCATATATACTACGGAGTACTTATGTTTTAAAATGCAAGTCATTGGATATCATTTACCTTCAAATGTTGACCTTTCTTTTTCAAAGTAATAATGAATCTGTGAGTAAGTACTTAACCTATGTGATTGTATCCCAAAAATTTAAACCAGTTAAACTTATTAAAACAAAAGTGCACAATCCCGAATATGAATGCATATAAATTAAGTTTAAATAAGTTGAATTTTCAAATTTATTCATTTCTTCGTTTACTTAAGCTGTACTATATTTTACACACACAAATATCCAATCTGTCCTAATATTATCTCACAAATTTTATTATGTCAATTTTATTTAGGA